ACTTGTTTTATGGACTAAAACAAATGTATCAACAGAAACTAACTCTAAGGGCTATTCCTCACAAAGAGTTTAGTCTCCAAACACGAAACCTAGAAAGACTGATTCCACAATCTACCTAGAACTCGCAAAAACGAATCAAGAACACAAGGTTTTTGAAACAAAGAACTTTCTGGTTTTCTTATTAATTCGAGGGTGAATTGAAAGGTACAACTGAGAAGAGCTTATATAGGCTCTTTAGAATTTGAAATACAATAAGAAGCAATAACTAAGAAGAAAAAAATCAAGAGATATGAGTCAAAGAGCTTGATTGTAGGCGATTTGATGAAGAGCTCGATTTTAGGAGTTGAATGGCGTGTTCTTTGGATGGCTGATGGGCAGAGAGATTCTCTGGCTTCTCTGGACGGCTGAGATGATCTGGGGTTGAGGAATGGTCGTGATTAATCTTCAGAAAGTCGTGGTCTTTAAGAGAAAAGAGATTAACATTTCCGAAAAAGGAAAGTTATCTTTTAAGTTTGAATTCTTCTCCTTTGGTCAGAAACGTGTCTTGGTTCATCTTGGGGGTGTATGGGAAGTCTGGTGGGTCTCCTAACACGTGCTTGGTCTTTTTCTTTGGCGAGAATGAGCTTGTTTCCTTATTTAGTGCAATATTGGACCGTTTAAGGACATGGCGGTCAAATGGTGGATCCGGGTCGATCCAGCTCCGTTTCTCTTGGTTTTGGATGCTCCATTGGGTCTCCTGATGGGTAAGAATATCTTCTGGGCCTGGACGTGCATTAATTATGCTGAGAACACCTTTCTTGGGCCACATCTTCTTATCGGCTTTGCATTTGAATGGCTCGGGTAATGGTTTAGCCGGGAAGCTTGTATGATCTATTGGATAGGAGTCTAGAGAGAACAAGTCAATAACAGTCGTCTCCCCTTCGTTATTGGCTTGCTCTACAAGGGAGTTCGTCTCTCCTTTACCTTTGGCTAGACTCACATGTCCATTGATCTCATGTGGTTCTTCTGGTTCAGCTTCGGTTAGGCCAAATGCAATGTCTCTGCGTCTTGAGCTTGCCAGGGGTCCGTCTTGTGGGGTTGATGTCCTTATCATACCTCCCTCTTTAAGATGTTTCGTCCTCGAAACTGGTTTTCCTGCACAACGATAGAGTAAGTTAGTTTGAGCTTGACCATGTGAGTTTAGAGTCTTACCTTTGGGTGATCTTTGAGATTGGCTAGGAGTTGATGGGTAAGATTCATCTGTTGGCGCCTCCTTGATCAGTATAGAGTAGATAACTTCATTGGGGTGTGGTTGGACAGGTTGTTTTGTTGGTACATCTCCTTGAAAGCCTACATCTCCTCTTGTTGTCGTGTGCACTAAGTTTGAAGTGGTGTGTTTCAAGCTTGCTTTATAACCTGTGAAAGACACTTTTGGCATAGAGAAGTGCATCATATCTGTGTAATCAGGTGGTAAATGTTCTTTTTCAGCAAAGAAACTTACCTTAGTGGCTGCATTAGCCTTTTCTCTTACTTGCATAACATGCACCTCGGCTTGATCTAAAGGTGTTAGTGTGAACTTGCAGTTGTTGAGGCTGAATGAGTACTGGTTTGTGCGACCATCATGGGAGGTATTGCGGTCATATTGCCATGGTCTCCCAAGTAAGATATGCCCGGCGTGCATTGGTGCGACATCACAAGTAATCTGATCTTGGTATTGGCCGATGGAGAAAGGAATCTCCACTTGTTTGGTCACCTTTAGCTCATCATTGTCATTGAGCCACTTGAGCTTGTATGGTCTAGGATGTTTTGATGTTTGTAATCTTAATTTCTCAACCAAAACAGAGCTAGCAATGTTAGTACAAGAGCCACTATCTATGATTAAGTGACATACCTTGTCTTGAATGGTGCATCGAGAATGAAATAAATTCTCTCTCTGAGCTGGTTCCTCACGGTATGGCTGAGCTGAGAGTGCTCTTTGAACTACTAGTAGATCTCCTTCATCAGGTAAAATGGTGATGTCTTTGTTCGGATCATCTAGATCTTCTTCATCTTGTGAATCATATCCATTTGGTGTGATGATCATGATGCGCCTGTTTGGACAGTCTCTAGCCATGTGTCCCCTGCCTTAACATTTAAAACAGGTCAGTTCATGAGTCCTTTGATGACCAGAAGAAGACTTACCTTGCTCAAACCGATTGTCTTTTGGTTTGTCATAGGTTTTGTCTTTGAACTTTGACTCGATGACAACTGATTTCCCTTTGTCGATGACTTGTGGTGGCTGTTGTTGAGTTGTCTGAGTGCTGCTACGGTTCCTCTCTGTGTTAGACACCTTTTTGTTGATCTGGTTCTCTATTTGGACAGCTAAGTGTAGCAACTCCTCGAGATCATGGTAAGGCCGCCTCTCTACTTTCGTTGCAATGCGATCTTGCAAGCCATCTATGAATTGGGCCATCAATGATTCTTCAGTATCAGTCAACTCCAGCTTGTTCTTAAGGGCCTCAAACTCTTCATAATAGTCTTCCACAGATCTCTGGCCTTGGAAGAAAGATCTGCATCATTTCTGAATCTCTCGGTGATAGTGTGGTGGCACATATCTCTTGCGGAGATAAAACTTCATGTCTCTCCAATAGGTGATTTGGCTAAGTTGTGTCTTCTTCTCTCAGCTACTTCTCTATCCCACCACGTCAAAGCATGGTCAGTGAGACTAGCTGCTGCCAGTGCTAGCTTCTTTGGCTCATTATAACCGTAGTAATCGAAGATGTGCTCCATTCTTCTTTCCCACTCCAAGTATGCATCAGGGTCCACTTTTCCAGCAAAGGTAGGTGGTGTGAGCTTAATGTCATTGGCGGTTCTGTTGGTATCTTCATCTCTGATCCTGTTGCGGTGGATGGGGTCATGTCTTTGTTGTTGTTGTAGTAATGGATCGGGTGGCACATTATCTGGTACATGTTCCCTTCGGTCTTGATTGTTTTGAACTCCATTTGCTGCGGTTTGGGGATCTCCATTGTTGGGTGGTGCAGCTGTTTGTGGATAGAGATTTCTGATGGCACCAAGGTGTGGCTTTTGCTCAATACGATCCATACGACCTCCTAGAGATTTCTGATGGCACCAAGTAGTCTCCATTGTGGTCATACCAGTTTTCACTGTTCTGATGTCATCTTTCATTGCATTCATGTCTTCTCTCATGGCTTGGAGAAGCTGCATCATAGCGTCTTGCTGGTTATTTTCAGTCATGTTTCACCTGCCAAATATTTCAATGAAAACTAGATCAAAGTTTTAATCAAAGCAAAGCAAAATAAAAATCGTAAATTTTTGTTTTTTTTATTTTTTACTAGATGATAAACAAATAAAACTGAAATTAGACAATATAAATATTTATGGATTTTCAGGGTTTATGAGAAGCAAAATAACAGGAACAGAATAATTTTTTTTTTTATGAATGAACAAGAAGCAAAAAAAACAATGGTAATAAAATTTTCTTTGGTTTTCTTTCTTTTTTTTTGTAAAAATCGAAACTAGAACAGAATCAAAAGCAAAACAAAATCAAAAGAAAAAGGATAGAAATCACCTAATAGGAAATTTGAGCTCTGATACCAAAATGATATAAGACTGAATCACACAATCTTTATGGACACCAAGTATTCAAACTCTAAAAGCTTTGATGGAGGGATGGAAGAAGGTTGTGATGACAATACACTTGTTTTATGGACTAAAACAAATGTATCAACAGAAACTAACTCTAAGGGCTATTCCTCACAAAGAGTTTAGTCTCCAAACACGAAATCTAGAGAGACTGATTCCACAATCTACCTAGAACTCACAAAAACGAATCAAGAACACAAGGTTTTTGAATCAAAGAACATTCTGGTTTTCTTATTAATTCGAGGGTGAACTGAAAGGTAAAACTGAGAAGAGCTTATATAGTCTCTTTAGAATTCGAAATACAATAAGAAGCAATAACTAAGAAGCAAAAATCAAGAGATATGAGTCAAAGAGCTTGATTGTAGGCGATTTGATGGGCAGAGAGATTCTCTGGACGGCTGAGATGATCTGGGGTTGAGGAATGGTCGTGATTAATCTTCAGAAAGTCGTGGTCTTTAAGAGAAAAGAGATTAACATTTCCGAAAAAGGAAAGTTCTCTTTTAAGTTTGAATTCTTCTCCTTTGGTCAGAAATGTGTCTTGGTTCATCTTGGGGTGTATGGGAAGTCTGGTGGGTCTCCTAACACGTGCTTGGTCTTTGTCTTTGGCGAGAATGAGCTTGTTTCCTTATTTAGTGGAATATTGGACCGTCTAAGGACATGGCAGTCAAATGGTGGATCCGGGTCGATCCAGCTCCGTTTCTCTTGGTTTTGGATGCTCCATTGGGTCTCCTGATGGGTAAGAATATCTTCTGGGCCTGGACGTGCATTGGTTATGCTGAGAACACCTTTCTTGGGCCACATCTTCTTATCGACTTTGCATTTGAATGGCTCGGGTAATGGTTTAGCCGGGAAGCTTGTATGATCTATTGGATAGGAGTCTAGAGAGAACAAGTCAATAACAGTCGTCTCCCCTTCGTTATTGGCTTGCTCTACAAGGGGAGTTCGTCTCTCCTTTACCCTTGGCTAGACTCACATGTCCATTGATCTCATGTGGTTCCTCTGGTTCAGCTTCGGTTAGGCCAAATGCAATGTCTCTGCGTCTTGAGCTCGCCAGGGGTCGTCTTGTGGGGTTGATGTCCTCATCAACAAATGTTAATATGTTGATAAAGATTATTTGTTTTCTTAATTGATCAATAAAACGAGCAACAAATAAGGAAAAAGAGGAGCCAAGGATTGTGTTATACTGACACAGCCTATAATAGCAAATCAAAACTGGAACCACCTTATGTCCCGAGTCAAACTCCCCATGTCCCACCCAAAACAATACATGTGTCTTCTTGTAAATGTTCCAATTCCCTTATATATACTTAAATCCAACAATTTCAACTAATTAACAAACTTATCCCATCCTTAAACAACATTAAGACGAGCCCTTAAATATGACAAGCTTCGCAGTCATTGCAGCTAGCATCAACAACAGGGTACTCGCCACATTAGCCACTCCGAGAGTTCTTGCTTCCGTCCCAGCAAGACTCATTCATGTAATCTTTCTCTTTTTTTCAAAAAAAAAGAAAAAAAATTATGGTCGATGATTTAATATTCGTAAGTGTAACTAATGTTTCTGATAATTAATTCTTTGAATAAATTATCGAAGGGGAGTACGATGAAAGAAGCTTCCGTTTGTGACAAAGCCACCGAGGCTCAACAAAAAGTATGTAAGAACATTTTGTATATTTTTTTAAAAAGTAACTTTGGGTTTTATAAATACTAGGAGAGAACCTGCGTATATGTTCGGATCTTGTTTAATTTATATTTTAATAACTTGTATTGAATTTTATTTTTACTATTAATGTTATTTTGTTTTAAATATTTATATTTTCTTTGATTTCTTTTTGATAATACATTATTTGTAATCTCTTCTACACCAGTTGTGTCAAATAGTATAATTTTTCTCCCAAGATAATAAGGGACTAAAAATCTGCTATTTTAATTTATGTATGAAAACGTAATAGTTAACTTAAAAATATATATTGAATATCAGAGAGAAATATTGATTTTTTCTTCGATCTTCATATTCTTTTTATTTTTGTAAATCTTAATAATATAATACTTGTTACTTTTCTTAATTTACCATTTTGATTTTTTTGGTTATATGTATTTTATTGATTTCATCTTTTTTTTATTTAAAAAAAACCATAAATGGCATTTTTATGTGGATACCTTTCTTTTGCTATTATTTGTTAATAACTTTTATCTTTTTAATTGTTATTAAATATTTTTTATGTTTTATAATTTTATTAGTTAGAGTTTTATATAAGATTATTTGAAATTACTTAACTTAATCACTTTCATAATTTTGTTTTCACTTGCATTAAAACTTAATTATATTGTTAGTTTGAAAATGAAGTTTAAAACATTAAAAAAAAAGAAAATAAATGGCGCATTTAAAAATTCTTGTATTATATAATATTTATAAGTTTTATATACTTAAATTAAATTTGAATTTCATTCTAATATATATATTAATATTTATTTATGTTCTTTACTATATTTTAATGTGTTTGCTTTATATTAGATTAATTATTTATTTTATTACATTTTTAATGGGGATAGATGACGCTCTTTCCAGTGCTGACATGTTACTCAACTGGAGAGAGATGACCAAGTTTTTTATATTAGATATTTAAATTAAATTTGAATTTTGTTCCAATATAAATATATATTAATATTTATTTATGTTTTTTAATGTATGTTTAATGTGTCTGCTTTATATTTGATTAATTATTTATTTTATTAAATTTTTAATGGGGAGAGGTGGCACTTTTTCCAGTGCTGACGTGTCATTCGACTGGAGAGAGTTAGCAAAGTTTTATATATTAGATTAGCTTAGGTCTGAATGTTAAACGTCAATTCTTACCTTAGTATTTGCATTTACATGTAAATGAAATCACCATTTGTAAATATATCTTTTCATTTGCGTTTGCGTTATAACTACCAAATATATTTTCTTTGAAGTTTTAAAATTGTGAAGTCGATTAGAAAAATATACACCCAAATACAAATGAAAAAAAAGAGAAAAAATATGTGATTTTATTTCAATCTTTGATTTACAAATTATTCATATAACCAAATTAAATCTGGACGATATAGGTGGCCAAGAAAGCGGACGAAGGAGCACAGACGATCTCCGACGCAGCAGGTAACTTGAAAGATAAGGCGAAGAACACTGCAGAGGAGGCATGGGACAAGGTAAAGGACACAACGGAGAAGATCAAAGATACTGTCACAGGAAAAACCGAGGAAACTAAGGAGTCCATTAAAGCCAAAGCAAAAACCGTCGAGCAAAGCATGAACACCAAGAACCTCAAATAATAAAATACTTTTTTGGTCAAAAATAATTAACATACAACTATCAATTAAAATTTTCTCTTTTATTAAATAAGATTATATTTGCCGAGTGGAATTTGTTTTAATCTATATACATGCGACTCTGGTTTGTATTAAGAAAAGGTGTTTCTTTATTAGGCAAGAATAGATCTGATTACTCTAAATGTATTTCTTTAAGATCATGTGGAAACTCATGTTTGTTATTTTTATATAAATTGATTTAATATATTTGTTTAATAAAGAAATAAGAATCAATTACAATTAAGTAAACTTCATGTTGGAAGGGGTGGATTTCTTTCTCTCTCTGAGCGATTAGGGTTGACGGCCTCACGCCGTTCATCGAGAACTTCTCCCTCCCCCCCCCTTCTTACAAAAATTTGCTGGTGATGTCAATTGTGGAACCTCCAGCTGGCTCTGTTCCTTCCTCTTCTTTGGGTCCTTCGGACTCTATTTTAAACTCTCCTCTTCAGGATACTTCAAATCGCTTTTCAATACCCGCGGGTGTCCCATCTTCAGCCGCTCCCTCTTACGCAGACCGATTCAAGTCCTCTCTAAGAAATCTCTGTAAGATTTCCTCCCCATCATATCAGGAGGATGGTACATCAGTGATGGAAGCTCCAGCCTCTATTCTTCTTCAGGTGGCTAACCAATGGAAAGGACACATCGTCGCCCATTTTCATGGTCTAGCGTCCCCTCCGGGAAAAATCTTTACGGATCTTAGTCCGGCTCGGGGAAAGTTTGGAAAAATCACGGTTCATTCTGTGTCTAAGACTACTAGCCTCATCTTCATACCATCCCTTCAGACTAGTGAATGGGTTCTTCGCACTGGTTACTGGCAAGCCGGTAATTGCTCTTTCACAATCTCGGAGTGGATTCCAGACGGCAGCTTCCAAACGCAGGACTGACGAAGGAGCACAGACGATCTCCGACACAGCAGGTAACTAGAAAGATAAGGCGAAGAACACTGCAGAGGAGGCATGGGACAAGGTAAAGGACACAACGGAGAAGATCAAAGATACTGTCACAGGAAAAACCGAGGAAACTAAGGAGTCCATTAAAGCCAAAGCAAAGACCGTCGAGCAAAGCATGAACACCAAGAACCTCAAATAATAAACATACTTTTTTTGGTCGAAAATAATTAACATACAACTATCAATTCAAAAATTTCTCTTTAATTAAATAAGATTATATTTGCCAAATGGAATTTGTTTTAATCTATGTACATGCGACTCTGGTTTGTATTAAGAAAATGTGTTTCTTTATTAGGCAAGAATAAATCTGATTACTCTAAATGTATTTCTTTAAGATCATGTGGAAACTCATGTTTGTTATTTTTATATAAGTTAATTTAATATATTTGTTTCATAAAGAAATAAGAATCAATTACAATTAAGTGAATAACTTCAATGTTGGAAGAGGTGGATCTCTTTCTCTCTCTGAGCGATTAGGGTTTCCCGCCATCACGACCGTTGACGGCCTCACGCCGTTTATCGAGAACTTCTCCCTCCCCCCTTCTTACAAAAATTTGCTGGTGATGTCAATTGTGGAACCTCCAGTGGATCCCCCAGATCCGTCATCTGGCTCCGATCCTTCTTCTTCTTTGGTTCCTTCAGACTCTATATTAAACTCTCCTCTTCAGGATACTTCAAATCGCTTTTCAATACCCGCGGGTATCCCATCTTCAGCCGCTCCCTCTTACGCAGACCGATTCAAGTCCTCTCTAAGGAATCTCCGTAAGATTTCCTCCCCATCATATCAGGAGGATGGTACTCTAGTGATAAAAGCTCCGGCTTCTATCCTTCTTCAGGTGGCTAACCAATGGAAGGGACACATCGTCGCCCATTTTCATGGTCTAGCGTCCCCTCCGGGAAAAATCTTTACGGATCTTAGTCCGGTTTGGAGAAAGTTCGAAAAAATCACGGTTCATTCCGCGTCTAAGACTACTAGCCTCATCTTCATACCATCCCTTCTAACTAGAGAATGGGTTCTTCGCACTGGTTACTGGCAAGCTGGTAATTGCTCTTTCACAGTCTCAGAGTGGACTCCAGACGGCAGCTTCCAAACGCAGGACTTGGAGACTGCTCCTACTTGGGCCTTGCTAAAGAGTGTTCCTTGGATTTTATATTCTCTGGACAGCATTAGCATAATAGCGAGTGTTATTGGGGATCCTCTCCACACCGAGAAGTTGCGTCTGGAGTCGTATCGCTATGGCAACACTAAGGTTAAGATGGAAATCAATTTGGATAGTTCTCCTCCTAAGACGGTGATAGTAAAGGATTGTGTAGGTAATACTGTCAGCATCGAGATTGAATATCCAAGGTTACCTCCGAAATGTACTAATTGTGGAAATTTTGGTCATCTGGTGAATCGTTGTCCCCATCTTGTAATGAAAATTCTGCTGAAGGATATTCATCCGAAGGAGGTCGCAGTAGCCAATACTAAGATTTTCCTTGCATCTCCTCCCCTGGATTCTTTGATGGTCAACACCATTCTAGCCTCCCCTCCGGAGGTGATAAGCTTGGATACTTCCATCACCACAGAACCCCCTAAGAGAGCAGGAGGTCTCGTGGATTCTGATATTTCTGTTCGATCAAGAAGCAGATCCCGCTCGCGGTCGAGACAAAGAGCTCTGAGTTCTCCCTTAAAGGTCCCCACCCAAGAACCATCAGCTCTTCCGAGGGGTTTGGGGTCCGGTGTTTCGGTTATAGGTAAGGCAAAAGTTGATTTGCAGGCAAAAGAAAAAGTAAAAGCTGTCTCTTCCAAGATTATCATCGTGGATAGGGATTCTCCACCACTTCAAGAGGAAGTGATGCAGGCGGCTCCTCTCCTATATGAGGCTGGAATGTTAGAGGTTTAAATAATCACTCTCGTCATGGTGTCCTCAAGATTTGGGTTACTAGTAATAGACCCTTACTAGGTGGAGTTTTGGAGATGCGTGTCAGGGAGGGAAATGCATCTTGTATCTTGGCCTCCGTTTTTCCGGATTGGAGGATGGCATCAAATTATGGTTTCTCTGAGAACGGCCGGATCTGGGTAGTGTGGGATTCTTCTATCTCGGTGATCGTTTTTAAAAAGTCTGGTCAGTTTATCCTCTGTTGGAATTTATGATCCAGCTACGGGTCATTCATTCTCGGCGGCTTTCATTTACATATATAATAGGGAAGCTCAGCGGCAGAGTTTGTGGGAGGAGCTCTTCATTTGCAGTTCTTCTCACGATTGTTTTTGCCCCTGAATTTTGCTGGGTGACTTCAATCAAATTGCTTCTGCTGAGGAGCATTTCTTGGCTATTCCTTCGGTCCTCCTTTTAAGAGGTATATATTCAGGCTTGCTTGGAGGACAATGAGTTGACAGATATGTCAAGTAGAGGATTATTCTATACTTGGACTTATTGTCGTACAGAGGATCCCATCCTCAATAAACTGGATCGAGCAATTATCAACGACCAGTGGTTATCTTCATTTCCGGATTCATTGGCTCGTTTTGATCCACCGGGAGATTCCGATCACTCCCCTTGTTTGGTGTCCCTTGATGGTGTGGAGAATGGATCCAAAAGAAGCTTCAAATATTTTACGCACCCTCGTTTCAGGCAGGAAATCTCGGAAGCTTGCAATGCTTCGACTCTTGTGGGTTCAGCGATGTTTACTCTGAGTTCAAGGATGAGTGCTGCTAAACTCTGTTGTCGCCGTTTAAACAAAGAGGGTTTTGGTGATATCAGTAGAGAGCTACGGAAGCCTTGGCAAACTTGGAATCGATTCAAAGGGTTCTCCTCTCCCAACCATCCGATCTATTATTCTGGCAGGAACATGTGGGCAGAAACAAATGGATCTTCTTCTCTAATGCTGAGCGGGTCTTCTTCAAGTCCAAATCAAGGATTAGATGGTACGAAGATGGAGATGCTAATACGGCCTTCTTTCATAGAGTGGTCAAGTCCAATCTCAGCCGCAAATCAATTCGTCATATCAGGGATCAGAATGATGTTAGATATGATAATCCTGCCCAGATAAAGGACATGGTTCTGTCTTATTTCACGCACTTGTTGGGGTCTTCTAGTTCTGGGGTTTTGCCTTTGTCTGTGAGCAAAATTAGGGAGCTCCTTCCCTTCAGATACCCTCCTGATATCTCCACTGCTTTGGTCAGCATTCCGACGGACGTGGAGATAACTAACGTTGTGTTTCACCTGCCTAAAAATAAAGCTCCCGGTCCTGACGGCCTCTCAATGGAGTTTTTCCTCGACTCTTGGGATTTGGTGGGAGCAGACCTGATTAAACCGGTGAAGGAATTCTTTAATTCTGGATCCCTCCTAAGGAATTTTAATGCTACTGCTATTATTCTCATCCCCAAGATTCAAGTGGCGGATCAGTTATCTCAGTTCAGGCCCATCTCTTGTTGCTCAACGGTTTATAAGGTCATTAACAGGTTCCTTACTAACCGTCTCAAGCTTTTTGTGTCTTTGGCGGTTCAGAGGAATCAGATAGGGTTATTTAAAGGTCGTTATCTATGCGAGAACGTCCTGTTGGCTTTCGAGCTTGTGACATACTTTCATAAAGTGGGAACTACCTCAAGAGGCTATCTGCAAATAAACATCTCAAAGGCTTATGATAATCTGAACTGGGAGTTCCTCTTCAATGTCTTAACTGCTCTAGATCTCCCTAACATTTTCGTGAACTGGATTAAAGAGTGTGTTACCACAGCTTCTTATAGCATTGCTGTCAACGGAGAGTTGGTCGGCTATTTCCCAGGCAAGAAGGGGCTTAGGCAGGGAGATTCAATGTCTTCTCAGATGTTTGTTCTTGCTATGGATGTATTATTAGATTTAGGGGCTATTAAGCAATCATTCATGCCCCATCCTCAGTGTTTTGCTCTGTTGATTACGCACTTAAGCTTCGCAGATGATGTATTAATATTCTTTGATGGTACATCGGATTTGCTGGAAGGTATCCTCTCGATTTTGGATGAGTTCAGGTCTGTCTCTGGTCTGGGAATTAGCAGACAGAAATCAGTGGTGTTTATTGATGGTGGGAGCCTCCAGCGTTGTAAGGATTTGGCTGATCCAGTTGGTTTGCAATACGGCTCCTTACCTGTCTGTTACTTAGGAGTTCCTCTATCAACCCAAAAACTGAAGAAACAGGATTACCAGCCTCTTCTCGACAGGATCAGGAATTGGTTTGCCTCTTGGTCGGTTCACCATCTATCCGTTGCGGGTAGACTCCAATTGATCCAGTCGGTTATATATCCCACTATTTCCTTTTGGTGCTCCATTTTTCCTTTGTCAAATCAGTGTTTGCTGGATCTTGAGCGTTTATGCAGCGGATTCTTATGGAAGTGATGAGGGCATAGAACCACAAGCTCCACCTATACCAGCCATGAGACAAGGACCAAGAACAAGATCCGGAACTAGAGTCTTGAGAGAAGAGTTTAATCAAGCTATTGAAGCCTTACTTAGCATCCACGAGCAAGAAGACTCTTTGTACCCAAGCTTTAAGGTCACGGTCCAAGAAAGAAGCCTGGAAGAGCCTAATAAAGGAGAAGCCTATCTCATACAAGACGGCCCAACAGCTGAATTACCACTTCTCCGACCCAACAAAGAAGTGTCCTTATTCAGCATCAGCATCACGCCAACTTAAGACCATCCTAGCCGTCCAACCCACCAAGGTAAGGGAATGAATACGTTTATTTACTTGCCTAATATGGTTTTTCTGTCTTTGGTTTGTTTTACAGGTTCCATTCATAGTTTTAAGTCTTAGAATATTTCTTTAGTTATTGCACGAGTCTGTTCCTTTAGAGTCCCAGAAAGTTGTGTCCTTTTTATGTAATTTGCTTCAAGTCCCCAAGAAGGGCAAAGCTGCATTGGACTCTCTTATAAAGTCCCTTATAAGCAGCCGTGTATCTTTTACCCTACTATCAATAAAATAACGCAGTTCTTCAAGATTTTGTCTTGTCCTTGAATTCTCTGAATTCGCTTAAGAGTTGGTGTTTGATCCTCCTCTTGAGAGTTGGTGTTTGATCCATCTCTCGCTAGTCTTATCAAGGTTCAGTCCATAGAGCTTTGTGGCGACCCTCATTCCACCGTTTGCATCATCATCATTTCATCTCTTGACTCAATCAGGGAGAGTTACACAACCAACTGATCGAGTTCCATCCTCTTTTCACATCTACTTCCATTCCTTATTCTTGTTGAGAGAGTTACACAACCAGCAACAAGGATCCATCCCCATCTATAGGCCCGTGCCTATATCATCTGGTATCAGAGCCGAAAGGTTCCAAAACCAGGTTTTATCTTTTCATACCTTTCGGTTAAATCTCCTTTGCATCTTTGTTTTCTTGTCGCACACTTATTCAAAAAAAAAAAAGAAGAGTTCTATTCGGTTGCATACATCGCATATCATCTTGAGCATTCGTCTATATATCTAAAATCATTCTCCTTAGCATCATTCATAGCATCGACTAGTTGCGGCTCATTGTTAGAACGAAAATTTTGTCAAAAGCCCCAGTTAGCCAGAAAAGGAAAGTTTTCATAATCACGTACAAAAAAAAAAAGGAAAGAGTTTACATTTCTTTAACATTGCACCGTCGTTTTATTGCATTAAAAGAAAAGGAAAGAACCAAAAACAACACTTAGTCGTATTTTTATTTCTCTTTTGCACTTGATCTTTGTTTGCTCTTGAACGTAGACACCAATCATGGGAGACAATTCCGCACCCCTACCAGAAGTCATGCAGCAACTACTTGACGGTATGAGGACTCTGAGCGACCATCTTAACTTGATGGAACAACAGTTGTCACCACCAGCCCAACCCAACAACAATGGGAACCAACCAAGGCAACAACATGACCACGATGGAGAAGAGACTGATGATGACATGCCTAGTCTCGAAGATGAACTCCCACCTGACCCAAATCACCGGCGTGGCAGACGAGATAATCATGGCCAAGGCCAGCATCAGCACCGTGAGAGAGGGAGGAGCCGAGAGATAGATAGAGAAGACGAGAGATATGGGGGCAAAGATCTTAAACTTACACCACCCACCTTTGCTGGAAAGGTCAACCCCGAGGCTTACCTGGATTGGGAAAGAAGAATGGATCATATCTTTGATTACTACCAATATTGCGAAGCCAAGAATGTGTCTCTAGCCGTCGCACAACTGACCAACAATGCTCTCACATGGTGGGACCGAGAAGTCTCTGAAATACGGAGGCTAAGACGTGGCCAGATCACCACTTGGGAGGACATGACATTCCACCTAAGGAAGAGGTATGTGCCTGCTTATTACTTTAGAGACTTACAGAAACGTTTTCGGAAGTTGTCTCAGGGAAACAGGCCCGTAGAAGAGTACTACGAGGAGTTTGAGACCATCAGAAATCGATTGGAGCTTCAAGATTCGGAGGAGACATTGATGGCCCAATTCGTTGATGGCCTCCAAGATAGAATAGCGAGGAAAGTAGAGTGGCAGAGCTATGAGCACATGGAGGATCTACTGCACTTTGCTATACAAGCCGAGCAGCATTTCAAGAATAAAGCAGCCACTAACTGAGGAAAGTCTACTTGGACCCAACCCTTCTCTAAACCGATGGACAAAGGCAAATCCATAGAAGTGGAAAATCGGTTCAAGAAACCAGCTTCCGGGCCATCAAAGCCGGCTCCACATGAGCAAGGTAAGTTCCCTAATCAAAGGTCTCGAGATATAACGTGCTTTAAGTGTCAGGGAAAAGGCCACTTTGCAAAAGAATGCCCGAATCAAAGAGTAATGGTATTGAGAGACAATGGAGAGTATGAGTCACAAGATGAAGCCGAGCTAAAAGCCACTGACTCCGACGAAGAGGTAACCATTTCCCTGAGGTTGGAGAGATGTTGGTAATCAGAAGATCTCTTGGTGCTCTAAGTGACCCCGAGACACTCCAAAGAGAAAACATCTTTCATACAAGATGTAGCATTGGAAACAAGGTATGTAGTCTCATAATAGATGGTGGCTCTTGTACTAACGTGGCTAGCAAGTATCTTGTAGACAAGTTAGGTCTTGAAAAGACAAAGCACCCAAGCCCATACCGATTAAGATGGCTCAATGATACCACGGAGGTGAGGATTGCGGAGCAAGTTGTTGTGCCATTCAGTATTGGGAAGTATCGTGATCAAGTCACGTGTGATGTTGTACCTATGCAAGCCGGTCACCTGCTCCTTGGGAGGCCATGGCAATTCGACAAAGAAACCATGCACAACGGTCGCACCAACTACTATTCTTTCACTCACAACAACAAGAAGCACAACTTAGCCCCTCTCACACCATCAGAAGTTCATGAGATGCAACAGGCCATGAACAAAGGGAAACAGCTAAGTAAAACTAATCTATTTGTCTCACCGAGTACAATTCTTAAAACTCTTGATCACAAACAACCGGTATTACTTATGATCTTTAGAGAAAGTCTGTTTTTAGGTAATGAGGAAGATCAAGAGCTCCCACACGAGATAAGTCAGCTATTAGAAAAGTTCCAAGATGTCTTTCCAGAAGAGATACCAGCCGGCCTCCCACCCATAAGAGGCATTGAGCACCAGATCGATCTAGTACCCGGAGCACCCTTGCCTAACCGAGCCGCATATAGAGTTAACCCAACAGAGGCCAAATAGCTAGAGGCTAAAGTCCAGGATTTAATGTCTAAGGGATACATAAGAGAGAGCCTCAGCCCGTGTGCAGTACCCGTCTTGTTAGTGCCCAAGAAGGACGGCTCTTGGAGGATGTGTGTGGACTGTAGGGCCATTAAAAACATCACCATCAAATACAGGCACCTAATTCCGAGACTAAACGACATGTTGGACGAGTTAAGTGGAGCTACTATCTTTTCAAAGGTGGATCTAAAGAGTGGCTATCACCAGGTGAGAATGAAGGAAGGAGATGAGTGGAAAACTGCATTCAAGACCAAGCAAGGTCTATACGAGTGGCTTGTGATGCCTTTTGGTCTCACAAACGCCCCAAGTACCTTCATGAGACTCATGAACCACGTCTTGAGAGCATACATCTGTAAGTTTGTAGTGGTTTACTTTGATGATATTCTGATTTACAGCCAGTGCTTAGAAGATCATATTAAGCATCTTGAACAGGTTCTAGAGACACTTAGATTAGAGGGTTTATATGCAAATCTTAAGAAATGTATCTTTTGCACTGATCAATTGGTATTTTTAGGATTTGTTGTAAGTTCTCAGGGTCTTAAAGTGGATGAGGAAAAGATTAAAGCCATCCAAGAATGGCCCACACCATCCACGGTTGGACATGTTAGAAGCTTTCACGGTTTGGCAAGCTTTTACAGGCGCTTTGTCAAGGATTTCAGTACCATAGCAGCCCCATTGACATCGGTGATCAAGAAGAACACTACTTTCACTTGGGGGCCGACTCAAGAAGCCGCATTCCACAAGCTGAAGGAGAGCCTCACACAGGCACCGGTTTTAGTCCTTCCTAACTTTGATAAAATGTTTGAGGTTGAGTGTGATGCATCAGGTACTGGCATAGGAGCTGTTCTAACTCAGGGAGGGAGGCCAGTAGCTTACTTCAGTGAGAAGCTAAGTGGAGCAACACTCAACTACCCAACTTATGATAAAGAACTCTATGCTTTGGTGAGATCACTAGAAACGTGGCAACACTATCTGCTTCCAAAGGAGTTTATCATTCACACAGACCACGAGACCCTCAAGCACTTAAGAGGCCAGACCACACTTAAGAAAAGGCATGCCCGATGGTTAGAGTTCGTAGAAACCTTTCCATATGTGATTAAGTACAAGAAGGGGCAAGAGAACGTTGTAGCCGATGCACTTTCAAGGCGTTACACTCTCATCTCTACAATGGAAGCCAAGATCATGGGTTTTGAGCACATCAAGGGTGGATATGAATCTGATCCCGACTTCTCAGAGGTCTAGAAAGAAAATACAAGGGCCGCATTTGGAGTATTTTACCAACAAGATGGATTTCTATTTAAGGAAAAGCGGCTATGCATCCCACAAGGGTCCATGAGAGAGTTGATCACTAGGGAGGCTCATGGAGGCGGGTTAATGGGATACTTTGGCCGAGACAAGACACTGAGCGTGCTGATGGAGCACTTTTACTGGCCACACATGCGAAGAGATGTGGAGAAGCTATGCACCAAATGCATCATTTGTCTTCGAGCTAAGTCCAGGTTACACCCTAATGGTTTACATATGCCTTTACATATTCCTAATGCACCCTGGGTGGACATTTCTATGGACTTTGTTCTAGGCTTGCCTAAGATACACAACAAAGACTCCATTTTTGTAGTAGTAGACAGGTTCTCAAAGATGGCGCACTTTATACCATGTAACAAGACCAATGATGCAACTCAAACAGGATCTCTTCTTTAAGGAGGTTGTGCGTCTTCATGGAGTGCCCAGGACCATTGTTTCAGATCGAGACACAAAGTTTCTCAGCCATTTTTGGAAGACATTATGGAAAAAGCTTGGCACCAAACTTTTATTCTCCACCACTTGTCATCCCCAAACGGATGGACAAACAGAGGTAGTAAACCGTACATTCTCAACCTTATTGAGAGCCATGGTTGGTAAGAATCTCAGGTGGTTATCTTGTCTACCTTTCATTGAATTTGCTTATAATCGTTCCAAACACTA